ATACATGCTTGTACATGTATGTGTAGTGTGAACTAAGTGCAAGTAGAAGTAGCAAGACGTACCTGAAATCTTGCATGTTTATGAGACAGACAGAAGACACCAGCAATCCTACCATCATGTAAAACAATTACAGGCTTTCATTGTACACTCACTTGGCAGGATGGTAGTACCTCCCTGGGTGGCTGCTGTTTACCAACCTACTACCTAGGCAATCGCTAAATATAATGGACAAATTGGGAGGAGAGGGTGGTTGGTATCTAATTCCCTCTTGAAGGCAGCCTGGGTAATATCCCTTATACATGGTGGGAGGCTGCTGAACAGTCTTGGGCCCCGGACACTCACTGCGTTATCTCTTAGTGTACTCGTGGCAACCCTGCATTTTATTAGCAGTATGTTGCACTGTCTGCCTAGCCATGATCATAACAATACACACAGGCCCTGCTTTACAGTGCTTTGCTTTACAGAATTTCGCTAATGCAGCGGTTGTCAATTATACCCATTCTTCATTGATTCAAACTTCCTACGATAAATATATTCACCACTCACTACAGGCTAGGGATGAAAATATTTTCAAGTAAGTAATGTGTATACTACATACGTATTTTTTAGGTCTAGCTCTACTGCTCACTTAATAAATGATAGTGTAAACATATTAACAGATTTGCATATGCATTTGTAAGTGAAAAATGCTATGTTTCACTTTATAGCATTTTCACTTTAGGGTAGTAGCCTGGAGTCTAACCTGCTGTATAAGTGGAGACCCTCCTGTAATTGACAATTCTCTAACTAACAGATTTTGTCCATTGTTTCTATATATCAACTGAGTTGTTAGTTTGATATGTTTACTATACAATCCATAGCTACTTATCAACTGACCAAGTGGACGTTGTCTTGTATATCCAAAGTCTGTTAATCGAGGGTTTTCTGTATAATCATGGGGAAACACTAAACCCGTAAGGCTAATAGAGTACCAAAGAAATGGGAGAAAATCAGGATTCAAGGAAAGAGGAGGGTTAATTCCAATTCCATGGATCAAAAGCCCTTTTTGGATTCCATACAGAGGTCCAAACAAGAATAAGACATAACTAATTCAAGAGTGTTAGTGAAAAGTTTGAAATAGTGTATGCTCAACAAAAGTATATATATATTTTTTTTAAACAAGTCGGCTGTCTCCCACCAAGCAGGGTGACCCAAAAAGAAAGAAAATCCCCAAAAAGAAAATACTTTCATCATCATTCAACACTTTCACCTCACTCACACATAATCACTGTTTTTGCAGAGGTGCTCAGAATACAACATTTTAGAATCATATATGTATAAAGAATCACTAAAGACACCCTTCTCCTGCATTATTCTTACTGAGACCTGGCTTAAGCAGGACACAATAGATATCTACCCTCTACCAGGATACACAGCAATTCACAACTGCAGACCAAACCAAGTTGGGGGTGGTATTGCAATCTATTACTCTAACCAATTATCTTGTATTAGCACCACTTGCTTTAGTGATGAATATGGGGAATACATTTTTGCTAATTTTACTGTAAAAACCCTAAGACACCTATAACAATTGGTGCCATTTACCGGATACCTCACACAAACATCCCAAATTTCAGTGAGAAATTAAAGTCACTAATAACAAACAGACAAATGAATAAGCACCACCTTCTCTTAGCTGGAGACTTCAACATCAACCTTGGCTTACTAGATGATCAGCCTGTAACTGATTTCATCAACAATATGAACAACACACTTTTCATACCAACAATAACTAAACCAACCAGGCACACTGAGACAAGTGCAACCATAAGAGACCACATATGGACCAATATACTAGCCCCCCTTAAATCAGGGATAATCACAGATAGCACTACAGACCACTACCCTACCTTCCTCCTGACAAACATTAATAAACCACCACTTGAATACAACAAAGTCTCATTTAGACTCCATGACGAGGCCTCAATAAGGAAGTTCACAACTGACCTAGAGATTGTTGACTGGCCTACAGAATTCTCCAAGGCCAATGGTATTAATGATGACTGGACAGACATTTTTCTTAACAAATTACTTAGACTATACAACAAACATTGTCCTATAAAAACGAAACAGATCACAAACAAACGGCTTGGTTGCCCATGGCTAACCAGCACCATTCTGAAATCCATTGACAAGAAACAACAATATGAAAAGCAATATAGACAGGGCTTAATACACAAAGATATTCTTAAACACTAGTCATCAGTTCTCACCAAAGTAATGAAGAAAGCCAAACAACTATACTACTCCAGTAGATTCACAGACACTAGAGGAGATATAAAAAAGACCTGGAAAACACTCTCAGATTCTAGGGACCCACAAACTGAAAAAAAACAAGAATATTGTCCTAACTAAACCTAATGAAACACCACTACATCCCACTGACACAGCTAACAAGATAAACGACTTCTTCTCAACCATAGGATCTAATCTCGCCAATAAAATCCCACATACTAATGCCCATGCCGGGGGCTACCTAGATGGGAATTTCCCAAATTCCTTCTATCTTGCACCAACTGAGCCCTCGGAAGTCACCGAGATTATAAAGTCACTTAAAAACAACTCAGGGAATCTGTCTAATGTCCCACCATTACTGTACAAGCGAGTGGCCCATATCCTTTCACATGCTATTTCATTACTTTTTAACAAGTCACTAGAAACTAGCACCTTCCCGAAACTACTCAAGATGGCAAGGGTTACACCAATACATAAAGGTGGTGACCCTACAGACTTAAACAACTATAGGCCAATATCAAACTTACCATTGCTATCCAAAATCTTTGAGAAACTCGTGCACAGGAGACTATATTCATTTATAACAGCACAAAACATACTCAACCCCTGCCAATTTGGATTTAGGAAAAATAAAAGCACTAATGATGCAATCATAAAAATGCTAGATCTGCTTTACACAGCATTGGAAAATAAGGAATATCCACTAGGAATTTTTATTGACCTAAGAAAAGCTTTTGACACAGTAGACCACGACATCCTACTCCACAAACTTGACCATTACGGTATAAGAGGCCATGCGCTTGCTTATTTCAAATCTTACCTTACTAATAGGTATCAGTATATTACCATTAAAGACACAGCATCAACAACACGGCCACTTGATACTGGAGTTCCGCAGGGAAGTGTCCTTGGTCCCCTGCTCTTCCTCGTATACATCAATGATCTTCCAAACGTATCCCAACACCTGAAACCCATTCTCTTTGCTGACGACACGACTTATGTCATCTCTCACCCTAATCTTGCCACCCTCAACACCATTGTTAACGAGGAGCTGATCAAAATATCGACTTGGATGACAGCCAATAAACTTACGCTTAACACTGACAAAACCTACTATATTATGTTTGGTAGCAGAGCAGGAGATGCACAAATTAACATTAAGATCGACAACACTCTAATTACCAGACATAATGAGGGCAAATTCCTAGGCCTATACCTTGACAACAACCTGAATTTCAGCACCCATATCCAACACATAACCAAAAAAGTATCCAAAACAGTTGGGATCCTCTCCAAGATACGATACTACGTGCCGCAAAATGCCCTTCTCACACTATACCACTCACTTATTTATACATACCTCACCTATGCTATTTGTGCTAGGGGATCAACTGCAGGAACACACCTAAAGCCAATAATAACCCAACAAAAAGCTGCAGTAAGAATAATCACTAAATCCCATCCCTGGCAACACACCCCCCACTCTTCATAGATCTAAACTTACTCCCTGTTCAGTACATCCACACTTACTACTGTGCAATCTACATCTACAGGACCTTTAAACTCCAATATCAACCTTGACCTAAAACACTTTCTTGATAGTTGTGACAGAACCCACAGGCATAACACCAGACACAAACATCTCTACGACATTCCCCATGTCCGACTAAACCTTTACAAAAATTCAATGTATGTCAAAGGCCCTAAAATCTGGAACACCCTACCTGAGAACTCTAGAACTGCAGACACACTCATCACCTTCAAAACTACCATTAGAAAACATCTTATCTCCCTGATAAACCCCATCAACTAACTACACGAATACCACCTGGTGGTTCACACTTACACTCACTCACCCATTTGACCATAAACAGAAATATTAATCTCAATCTTAAAATAATGAATCCTATGATACTCCAATACTGAAACTATGTACTGTGCCAAAACAAAAGCATTCACATTGCTAAACTCACAAACTAGTATTTAGTCACTTAGCCATAATACCAACTTACCTCATAATTTGTAATATTTTAAAATAAAGAATTAAACTAAGTCTGCCCGAAATGCCTAGCCATGCTAGGCGTTCTAGTGGTACACTCTGTAATCATTATTTAACTACATGTAAACTACACAACAACCAAATTCTGTAAATTCAACATTGTAATCTTTATAGAGAATAAACTTTGAATTTGAATTTGAACATATCCCTCCAAACTGCCGATATCCCAAACCCCTCCTTTAAAGTGCAGGCATTGTACTTCCCATTTCCAGGACTCAAGTCCGGCTATATAAAAATAACCAGTTTCCCTGAATCCCTTCACTAAATATTACCCTGCTCACACTCCAACAGCTCGTCAGATCCCAAATACCATTCGTCTCCATTCACTCCTATCTAACACTCTCATGCACACTTGCTGGAAGTCCAAGCCCCTCGCCTACAAAACCTCCTTTACCCCCTCCCTCCAACCTTTTCAAGGACGACCCCTACCCCGCCTTCCTTCCCCTACAGATTTATATGCTCTCCATGTTGTTCTTCTTTGATTCATTCTCTCTAAATGACCAAACCATTTCAATAACCCCTCTTCAGCCCTCTGACTAGGGGTTGTATATACGTATAGTAGATGTATATACGTAATAAAAATGAGAGATTACTAAGAGATGCAAGGTATCCATAGCTCAACAAATGTATATAAATGTAACAAAAAGTGCAAGGTATCCATACTTACTAATTTACTCCAAAAACTTGATCTTGATAAAATATGTCCTTCTGTCCATCATTTGAAGATAAATGTTCAAATATTTCTGGAAAATTCTTTTGATATTCCAGAAGAGATTCGACCACCTGATCAGAGTACAACCATGAAGGTTTTTCATAAGGGTCCAGAGCCTTGCGACTGTAACCACAAACCTAGCAAGTCAATAAGATAAACATTAACATGCAGTACAAGCACTTCTGTATTCTTGTAGAGAAAGTTAATACAAGTTAACAATGCTTTAAGGCAAATTTTTCATCAAATATATTTTTTATTGCATACTTGACCCAAATAATGTGCATAAACAGTTTGCATACTTCTAAAAGTCTTAAATACCTAACTGAAAAAATATAAATTTGCAAATTTACATTATTCCTAATACAGTATATGATATTGATATCTTTTACACCTATGCTTATTATTATTACAGTACAGTATTATCATATTCACAAGGAATTGCTAAGTCAGTAATGGTTGGGTGGTAGTCAGGTTTGATCTGAGGAAGGGAAGGGTAACTCGAATTCCTTGGATCAAAGATACCTCCTACATGACATTCTACAGGTTATTCCAAAAGTCTGGAGCCCAAACAGTATTGTAATGGTTAAGGTTAATATTGGGAACACTGATCTCATATCAGTTTTTATCTTGAGAAATTTGAAAAGCATTTGTATATCATCATTTAAATTCAATAATAAATGAACAAGTCTAAATTGTGTAGTTTTTAGCATGGGTCTCAAATTTCTAGAGAGAGAGAAAAAAAAAACTTTCACCATCATTCACACTATCACTGTCCTGGCAGAGGTATGCATTGCATACACAACAGTTTAGATATCCCTCCAAACAGTAAATACCCCAAACCCCTCCTTTACGATGTAGGCATTGTACCTCTCACCTCCAGGGCTCAAGTCTGGCTAACCTATTTCCCTGAATTCCTTCACAAAATACTACCCTGCTCACATTCCAACAGCTCATCAGGTCTCAAAACCCATTTGTCTCCACTTATTCTTATCTAACACACTTACACATGCCTGCTGTATGACCAAGCCCCCTTGCACACACAACTCTATATGTATAAAGAAAAAGAAATAAAGCATCTATAACACACATACATACCTCTTCATTTCTTTTGTTACTTTTGAGATTGAGTCCTATATTCAGCTTGTTCTTCATTTCTACATCAGCCATAGGATTATTAGGTCCAGAAGGAGGGACTAGAAACACTGTACCCGTAATGCGAGCTAGCAGGTGAGACGATATACCAACCTTCTGGGCAGCAAAGTAACCTGTCAATGTAAATTATTCCAAACAATTATTGTCACTTAAAACCCCATTATACAGAGTTTGTACAAATTTGAAAGATAAAACTTATCTTGCTATTACCAAAGATTTCAGTTATATTCTGTCATGAACTACAAATAAGAGCATTAGACACTATAACTGAACTTAGATAAACTCCTTTATCTCACCTCCCATATACCTGTCCTGTAGCAGACTTTGCTTTTGTTTGACAACGTCAAAATTTGGCTCCGATGTCACAGTCATAGCCACTCTTATTCTACCTTTATGATTAGGGTCAATCTCAATAACCTGAAAAATTATAAATCCTAGGCTATGCATATGCATGATATAGATAAAAAATTATAAACACAGGTTGTGTTCCTGCAAATCAGTGATAACATAAATTAGCACTATGTGAAGTGAATAACAAGAAAAAATAGTTACATTCTAGAAAACTTTGCAAAAATAAACAAATCAATTGCACTTGGTAAAAATTACAACAATATAACTTACCATGCTTGGAGACTTATTTTTTATCTATTTATTTATTATTTATTTAATAATTTGAACATACATATAGAGGTACAAAAAAAATACAGGTAAGAGCAGCATGCCAAAGCTACTTGTATGCATAGCATTACGAGCTGGCTTAAATTTAACTTAAGATTAACTAAGCAATGATGTAATCAGTGATAAAACATTATTGTAAACAGATAAAACTACCCAAGGTGCTAGCTATGACGACTATTTGGCAGACTCTTCCATTCCTCCACAACTCTACTGCCAATATTACTTCTATAACTGCATTTGTAGGTTATCTTCTTTTTAATTTTAGTAAACTATACAGGAAAAGGGGTTACTAGCCCAGTGATCCTGGCATTTTAGTTGTCTTTTACAACATGCATGGTTTATGGAGGAAAGATTCTTATTCCACTTCCCCATGTATATGAAAGGAAAATGATATGAACAAGAGAACTATTAAACAATTGTTTTACATGATGGTAGAATTGTTAGTGTCTTTTTTCTGTCTCATAAATATGCAAGATTTCAGGTACATCTTGCTACTTCTACTTACACTTAGGTAACACTATACATGCATGTACAAGCATATAGGTATATACATATACACACGCACCCCCATCTGGGTTTTCTTGTATTTTCTTAATAGTTCCTTTTTTTTTTTTTAACAAGTCGGCTGTCTCCCGCCAAGACAGGGAGACCCAAAAAGAAAGAAAATCCATAAAAAAGAAAATACTTTCATCATCATTCAACACTTTCACCACACTCACACATAATCACTGTTTTTGCAGAGATGCTCAGAATACAACAGTTTAGAAGCATATACGTATAAAGATACACAACATATCCCTCCAAATTGCCAATATCCCAAACCCCTCCTTTAAAGTGCAGGAATTGTACTTCCCATTTCCAGAACTCAAGTCCGGCTATATAAAACAGCCAGTTTCCCTGAATCCCTTCACTAAATATTACCCTGATCACACTCCAACAGCTTGTCAGGTCCCAAAAGCCATTCGTCTCCATTTACCCCTATCTAACACACTCATGCACGCTAGCTGGAAGTCCAAGCCCCTCGCCCACAAAACCTCCTTTACCCCCCTATCTCCAACCTTTTCGAGGACAACCCCTACCCCGCCTTCCTCCCCCTATAGATTTATACACTTTCCATGTCATTCTACTTTGATCCATTCTCTCTAAATGGCCAAACCACCTCAACAACCCCTCTTCAGCCCTCTGACTAATACTTTTATTAACTCCACACCTTCTCCTAATTTCCACACTCCGAATTTTCTGCATAATATTTACACCACACACTGCCCTTAGACAGGACATCTCCGTTTCCTCCAACCGTCTCCTCGCTGCTGCATATACAACCCAAGCTTCACACCCATTTAAGAGTGTTGGTACCACTATACTTTCATACATTCCCTTCTTTGCCTCCATAGATAATGTTCTTTGTCTCCACATATACCTTAACGCACCACTCGCCTTTTTACCTTCATCAATTCTATGATTAACCTCATCCTTCATAAATCCATCCGCTGACACGTCAACTGCCAAATATCTGAAAACATTCATTTCTTCCATATTCCTCCTTTTCAATATGATATCCAATTTTTCTATATCTAAATCATTTGATACCCTCATCACCTTACTCTTTTCTATGTACACTTTCAACTTTCTACCTTTACACACACTCCCATTCTCATCCACTAACCTTTGCAATTTTTCTTTAGAATCTCCCTAAGCACAGTATCATCAGCAAAAAGTAACTGTGTCAATTACCATTTTGTATTTGATTCCCCATAATTTAATCCCACCCCTCTCCTGAATACCCTAGCATTTACTTCCTCTTATCTCCATAGGGAAGTGGAACAGAATTCTTCTTCTGTAAGCCATGCGTGTCGTAAGAGACAACTAAAATGCCAAGAGCAAGGGGCTAGTAACCTCTTCTCCTGTATATATTACTAAATTTAAAAAGAGAAACTTTTATTTCCTGCCTCAGTAGGATATGGCTAGTTCGTAAAAAAAAAAAAAATATTAAGAAAAAAATCAAAGAAAACTCAGATGAATGTGTATACATAAATGTGTACATGCATATGTAGTGTGACCTAATTGTAAGTAACAGTAGCATTTACATTTATTTTTTTTATTATCACACTGGCCGATTCCCACCTAGGCAGGGTGGCCGGAAAAAGAAAAGCTTTCACCATCATTCACTCCATAACTGTCTTGCCAGAAGGGTGCTTTACACTACAGTTTTTAAACTGCAACATTAACACCCCTCCTTCAGAGTGCAGACACTGTACTTCCCATCTCCAGGACTCAAGTCCGGCCTGCCAGTTTCCCTGAACCCCTTCATAAATGTTACTTTGCTCACACTCCAACAGCACGTCAAGTATTAAAAACCATTTGTCTCTAATCACTCCTATCAAACACGCTCACGCATGCCCACTGGAAGTCCAAGCCCCTCGCACACAAAACCTCCTTTACCCCCTCCCTCCAACCTTTCCTAGGCCGACCCCTACCCCACCTTCCTTCCATTACAGACTGATACACTCTTGAAGTCATTCTGTTTTGCTCCATTCTCTCTACATGTCCGAACCACCTCAACAACCCTTCCTCAGCCCTCTGGACAACAGTTTTGGTAATCCCGCACCTCCTCCTAACTTCCAAACTACGAGTTCTCTGCATTATATTCACACCACACATTACCCTCAGACATGACATCTCCACTGCCTCCAGCCTTCTCCTCGCTGCAACATTCATCACCCATGCTTCACACCCATATAAGAGCGCTGGTAAAACTATACTCTCATACATTCCCCTCTTTGCCTCCAAGGACAAAGTTCTTTGTCTCCACAGACTCCTAAGTGCACCACTCACCCTTTTCCCCTCATCAATTCTATGATTCACCTCATCTTTCATAGACCCATCCGCTGACACATCCACCCCCAAATATCTGAATACATTCACCTCCTCCATACTCTCTCCCTCCAATCTGATATCTAATCTTTCATCACCTAATCTTTTTGTTATCCTCATAACCTTACTCTTTCCTGTATTCACTTTTAATTTTCTTCTTTTAAATACCCTACCAAATTCATCCACCAACCTCTGCAACTTCTCTTTAGAATCTCCCAAGAGCACAGTGTCATCAGCAAAAACCAGCTGTGACAACTCCCACTTTATGTGTGATTCTTTATCTTTTAACTCCACGCCTCTTGCCAAGACCCTCGCATTTACTTCTCTTACAACCCCATCTATAAATATATTAAACAACCACTGTGACATCACACCGTGATGTCATCTCCCTCTTTCCTACATACTCCAACTTGAGCCTCACTATCCTCGTAAAAACTCTTCATTGCTTTCAGTAAGAGGGGAATGTATGAGAGTATAGTTTTACCAACACTCTTATATGGGTGTGAAGCATGGGTGATGAATGTTGCAGCAAGGAGAAGGCTGGAGGCAGTGGAGATGTCATGTCTGAGGGCAATGTGTGGTGTGAATATAATGCAGAGAATTCGTAGTTTGGAAGTTAGGAGGAGGTGCAGGATTACCAAAACTGTTGTCCAGAGGGCTGAGGAAGGGTTGTTGAGGTGGTTCGGACATGTAGAGAGAATGGAGCGAAACAGAATGACTTCAAGAGTGTATCAGTCTGTAGTGGAAGGAAGGCGGGGTAGGGGTCGGCCTAGGAAAGGTTGGAGGGAGGGGGTAAAGGAGGTTTTGTGTGCGAGGGGCTTGGACTTCCAGCAGGCGTGCGTGAGCGTGTTTGATAGGAGTGAATGGAGACGAATGGTTTTTAATACTTGACGTGCTGTTGGAGTGTGAGCAAAGTAACATTTATGAAGGGGTTCAGGGAAACCGGCAGGCTGGACTTGAGTCCTGGAGATGGGAAGTACAGTGCCTGCACTCTGAAGGAGGGGTGTTAATGTTGCAGTTTAAAAACTGTAGTGTAAAGCACCCTTCTGGCAAGACAGTGATGGAGTGAATGATGTTGAAAGTTTTTCTTTTTTGGGCCACCCTGCCTTGGTGGGAATCGGCCAGTGTGATAATAAAAAAAAATAATAACCTCCTATATCATACACCTGCAACATCTGCCACATTGCCCCCCTATCCACCCTGTCATACGCCTTTTCCAAATCCATAAATGCCACAAAAACCTCTTTAGCCTTATCTAAATACTGTTCACTTATATGTTTCACTGTAAACACCTGGTCCACACACCCCCTACCTTTCCTAAAGCCTCCTTGTTCATCTGCTATCCTATTCTCCGTCTTACTCTTAATTCTTTCAATAATAACTCTACCATACACTTTACCAGGTATACTCAATAGACTTCTTCTTTCAACAAACTGGCCGTATCCCACTGAGGCAGGGTGGCCCAAAAAGAAAAACGAAAGTTTCTCTTTTTAAATTTAGTAATTTATACAGAAGGGGTTACTAGCCCCTTGCTCCTGGCATTTTAGTTGCCTCTTACAACACGCATAGCTTATGGGGGAAGAATTCTGTTCCAATTCCCCATGAAGATAAGAGGAAATAAACAAGAACTAGAAAGAAAATAGCAGAAAACCCAGAGAGGTGTGTGTGTATATATATATGCTTGAACATGTATGTGTAGTGTGACCTAAGTGTAAGTAGAAGTAGCAAATGTACCTGTAATCTTGCATATTTATGAGACAGACAAAAGACACCAGCAATCCTACCATCATGTAAAACAATTACAGGCTTTCGTTTTACACCCACTTGGCAGAACAGTAGTACCTCCCTGGGCGGTTGCTGTCTACCAACCTACTACCTAGGACTCAACAGACTTATCCCCCTAAAATTTTTGCACTCTCTTTTGTCCCCTTTGCCTTTATAGAAAGGAACTATGCATGCTCTCTGCCAATCCCTAGGTACCTTACCCTCTTCCATACATTTATTAAATAACAGCACCAACCACTCCAAAACTATATCCCCACTTGCTTTTAACATTTCTATCTTTATCCCATCAATCCCAGCTGCCTTACCCCCTTTCATTTTACCTACTGCCTCACAAACTTCCCCCACACTCACAACTGGCTCTTCCTCACTCCTACATGTAACAAAATATTGTTAAGCACAAAAGAAAGAAAGCCACCAGCATGCTTTGCATTTCAGGCAATAAATTTTTTTTTTTGTTTACACATCGGTCATTACTTAGGTTATATTACCTTTTTTATGCTAGATTCCGTATTTTTAGAATGTCCTCCTTACAATGAAAATGCATAACACTTTTTTTTAACAAATCGGCCGTCTCCCACTGAGGCAGGGTGACACAAAAAAGAAATATTTTCACCATCATTCAACACTTTCACCATCATTCACACAATCACTGTCTTTGCAGAGGTGCCCAGATACAAAAGTTCAGATGTCACTCCATACAGCCAATATCCCAACTCCCTCCTTTAACCCTTTCACTGTTTAGACCCCTGTTCACAAACTTGCTCTTAGTGTTGAAGAATTTAAAAAAAAAAAAAAAAAAGTTATTTTTTCTTATGAAATGATAAAGAATCTTTTCTTGATGGTAATGACACCAAAAGTACAAAATTTGATGGAAAACTTACGGAATTACACTCTCGTGAAGTTAGCGGTCTCAGTAATATATATGCATTCGCCCACTTTGAGCTATTTCACTAGAACTCCATTTGTTCTATCAACTGAGTACAAGAAACTGCCTATTTACAGATTTCAACTACCCAATAAAGTGGTCAGAAATTGGCAATTTGGTCAATTTCACACAAATTTCAAAAGATGCCAGTTTCAAAATAGGTCCAGAATAAACACTGCAGACATTCCTGGCACTAAAATAACATTTTTCTCTGTTCATTAGTCACATCTCCAGGTCCCTCTTATATTACACTTGCTTTCCATTTTGAAGTTTTATTCACACAAAAAAATAGAAGATTTACTGTTAGGCAGACTACTGCGTTATTGTAAGAATTGTATAAATAATGTCAACCCATTCGTGACTGTGTATTAGACGGGCCAGTTGGACACGTCTTGGATGGTGATGTCATTTTTTTCTCTTGAACATCGGCAAAAATCAAACATTTCCACTACTTTGAGCTCAATTTCAAGGTACTTTTCATCGTGAAACCAATCAAAATCATCTCTATTTCTGTAATGTTATTTTAGTGCCAGGAATGTCTGCAGTGTTTATTCTGGACCTATTTTGAAACTGGCATCTTTTGAAATTTGTGTGAAATTGGCAAAATTGCCAATTTCTGACCACTTTATTGGGTAGTTGAAATCTGTAAATGGGCAGTTTCTTGTACTCAATTGATAGAACAAATGGAGTTCTAGCGAAATAGGTCAAAGTGGGCGAATGCATATACAGTGGACCCTTGACCAACGATATTAATCCATTCCTGAGAGCTCATCGTTAGTCGAAATTATCGTTAGTCAAATTAATTTTCCCCATAAGAAATAATGGAAATCAAATTAATCCGTTCCTGACACCCCAAAGCATTGAAAAAAAAAAAATTTTACCACATGAAATATTAATTTTAATATGCACAAACTGAAGAAGACATGTACAATTACATGACACTTACCTGTATTGAAGATCTGGTGATGATTGATGGGATGGGAGGAGGGGAGAGTGTGGATGGTGTTAGTGTTTAGAAGGGGAATCCCCTTCCATTAGGACTTGAGGTGTCAAGTCCTTTTCCGGGGTTACTTCCCTTCTTCTTTTAATGCCACTAGGTCCAGCTTCGAGTCACTGGACCTCTGTCGCACAACATATCTGTCCATAGAACTCTGTACCTCCCGTTCCTTTACGATTTGTCTAAAATGGGCCACAACATTGTCATTGTAATAGTCACCAGCACGCCTTGCAATAGCCGTGTTAGGGTGATTTTCATCCATAAAGGTTTGTAGTTCAACCCACTTTGCACACATTTCCTTAATCTCTGAAGTAGGCACAATGAATTCCACAACTGGCATAGGTGTCTCAGGGTTAGCCCCCAAACCTTTCAAAATCTTTCTTAATTTCCATACTAATTCTCACCCTTTTTATCACATGGATGGCACTAGAAACTTTCTTGGGGCCCATGGTGACTTATTTTGCAGGTGCAATCACTAAAAACGCTGTGATAATATGAAATGTTCTGATTGTATGTTTGGATGCGACCACGGTGGCTGGCTTGTAAACACTGTGCAGGCCACACGTGGACGCTTCTCAAATGGAACGAATGGCGTTGGTCGAGTTTTTTAGCGATAGTCGAGGCAAAAATTTTGCGTTAAAATGTATTGCTAGTCGGATTTAACGTTATACGATGCCATCATTGGTCGAGGGTCCACTGTATATTACTGAGACCGCTAACCTCACAATTGTGTAATTCCGTAAGTTTTCCATCAAATTTTGTACTTTTGGTGTCATTACCATCAAGAAAAGATTCTTTATCATTTCATAAGAAAAAATAACTTTTTTTTTTTTTTTAAATTCTTCAACACTAAGAGCAAGTTTGTGAACAGGGGTCTAAACAGTGAAAGGGTTAAAGGAGGGGTTGGGATATTGGCTGTTTGGAGTGACATCTGAACTTTTGTATCTGGGCACCTCTGAAAAGACAGTGATTATGTGTGAATGATGGTGAAAGTGTTGAATGATGGTGAAAGTATTTCTTTTTTGTGTCACCCTGCCTCAGTGGGAGACGGCCGACTTGTTACAAAAAAGTGTTATGCATTTTCATTGTAAGGAGGACATTCTAAAAATACAGAATCTAGCATAGAAAAAGTAATATAACCTAAGTAATGACTGATGTATAAACAAAATAAATTTATTGCCTGAAATGCAAAGCATGCTGGTGGCTTTCTTTCTTTTGTGCTTAACAATATTTTATTACATGTAAACTACATTTTTGTATACTGCACAAAGAAATAGTTTTTTTTTTTTTTTTTTTTTGCTGTAGTTATCTTGCAACAATCTTAGCAGTGTGATCACTTACCTCTCCCATACATCCATAGTGAGGTTGCCCAAGCATGAAGACCTTGGTGCGCTTAGGAAAATATTCTTGAGGTGTGAGATGCTGCTTGTAACCAGGATCATGAGCAACAATATCCCTGACAACTACCTGATGCGCATATGCTTGAACTATTTTAGACCATTCTTTCTCTAGTGACATTCTTCCACTTGAGGTTGGCACATATCTGAGAAAAAAAATTTGGGGATATAGCAAAAACAGACCACCACAGAGTACTGTATGCTAACATACAGGAATGGGGCAATGGGATGTAATCAGGGGAACAGGATGTAATCAAGGGAATGGGATGTAATCAGGGGAATGAGATGTAATCAGGGGAATGGGATGTAATCAGGAGAATGGGATGTAATCAGGGGAATGGGATGTAATCTGGGGAATAGGATGTAATTGGGGGAATGGGATGCAATCAGCAGAATGGGATGTAATCAGGGGAATGGGATGTAATCAGGGGAATGGGATGTAATCAGGAGAGAAAGGGGATGCAATCAGGGGGGAAATGGGATGTAATCTGGGAAAATGGGATGTAATCAGGGGGAATTGGATGTAATCAGGGGGAATGGAATATAATCAAGGGAGCTGGGATGTAATCAGGTACAATCTAAGGAAGGAAAGGGTAGGGCAGTCTGTGCATCAGCATCAAGGATTGCAGAGGTTGAAAAAATATAGCAAGCCACCAAGAAATAAAGTAGGAAGAGTGAATCTAAGCAAAGTAGGACTTTAATATTTATATTAGTTTCAATACACCCTTTTAGCCATGAATTAATGCATATTTTAGAAGTTGTATAGAAAGTCATGAGCACTATGTCAGATAGAGAGAGAGGTATTAGTAAGAATTTTCAATTTTATAATAAATAATGTACATATTTATATACAACTTGTAAAATATATCTTACTTTCTTCCAGTCATTGGTGCTGCATAAACTAGAATTTCAGTGTTCCCAATTTCAACACCCCAGCGGTCATGATAATGGGAGATTATGTGGTTCTTTGACGAGGAAAACTCTTCCTTCATACGACCTTCAACTATTTGTCTTTGCACTGTCCCTCCAAGTAGTGAGTAACGTTCTTGGTTGTCACTTACTGCTTCTACCTGAAAATTAAGGACGCTGAATTCAGAATATGTCAGGAAATGTAGTTTTATCTGGCAATTTAATCATCATCATTACCCTATTTCCTTCCTTTTTAGGAGTATAAAATTTTAGGTAGTAGGTTGGTAGACAGCAACCACCCAGGGAGGTACTACCGTCCTGCCAAGTGAGTGTAAAACGGAAACCTGTAATTGTTTTACATGATGGTAGGATTGCTGGTGTCTTTTTTCTGTCTTATAAACATGCAAGATTTCAGGTACGTCTTGCTACTTCTACTTACACTTAGGTCACACTACACATACATGTACAAGCATATATATACACACCCCTGGAGTTTACCTGGAGAGAGTTCCGGGGGTCAACGCCCCCGCGGCCCGGTCTGTGACCAGGCCCTCTGGGTTTTCTGCTATTTTCTTTCTAGTTCTTGTTCCTGTTTATTTCCTCTTATTTCCACGGGAAAGTGGAACAGAATTCTTCCTCCGTAAGCCATGCATGTTGTAAGAGGTGACTAAAATGCCGGGGACAAGGGGCTAGTAACCCCTTCTCTTGTATAAATTACTAAACTTAAAAAGAGAAACTTTCGTTTTTCTTTTTGGGCCACCCTGCCTCGGTGGGATACGGCCAGTTTGTTGAAAGAAAGAAGAAGAAAGGAGTATAAAATAACTTGCCTTGAGACCACAGGAAAATATATAGGAAAAGTGTGTTAAAGATGAAGCTAATTACTTTGACACCAGTCCCATCATACTGCTTTCCACACAAAGCTGTATCATAGAGCACCAACATTTTTACCACACAACCAATCGCCCACAGCAGCACAGGTATAACCACCCATTTCAAGGGCTGTGTGTACAGTGCTCCTCATGAATTGTCTTTGACAGAATGTCAATTATTCATTCATTCCCTTCTAACCACCTACTGCATTAACTACTGAACTGTCATTCAGTTATGTTCACTACCATTTCTTATGTAGTCATAACAGGTGTCTCCTTGCAAACATAATCCAAGTATCTGCTCATCAACTTTACTTTCAATCCTCCTCCTCCTCCAATCCTCCAATTATCTCAAATATACCCTTAACTACACTATCATCATCTATTCTCCAATTATCTTAAGTATGTGTATGCTTCTAGACTGTTGTATTCTGAGCACCTCTGCAAAAACAGTGATAATGTGCGAGTGTGGTGAAAGTGTTGAATGATGATGAAAGTATTTTCTTTTTGGGGATTTTCTTTCTTTTTTGGGTCACCCTGCCTCGGTGGGAGACGGCCGACTTGTTGAAAAAAAAAAAAAAAAAAAATACCCTTAACCACTCTCTCTTCATCTGTTTTCTAACTTCATATATTATCATCTCAGAATATACTGATCAATAATGATAATTTCACAAAAACATGAAAATGATAAATAAATCAATATTAATTGGTTAATAAAGGTGATAAAGGTGATACTGCAGTTCAGTGGGTCATGACCAGCATGATGATAAAAAACTAAGTATCAATATACCATGTCACACTGCCTCTTTAACCCTTTGAGGGTCGGCAGGTCCTCTCAGAGACTTGTTCTCAGGGTCGGGCAAATTTAAAAAAAAAAAAAAATTCTTATGAAAAGATAGAGAATCTTTTCCCGATCGTAATGACACCAAAAGTATGAAATTTGATGGAAAACTTACGGAATTATGCTCTCGCAAAGTTAGCGGTCTCGACGATATTTACGCATCGGCGATTTTGCCCACTATTTTCGGCTAATTCCAATGCACTAGTCGACAAAAATCATAACTATTTCGTTAGAAATCCATTTTTTCTATCGAATGAGTACAAGAAACCACCCATTTACCAATTTCAACTATCCAATAAAGTGGTCAGAATTTAGCAATTTTGCCAATCTCACACAAATTTCAAAAGATGTCAATTTCCAAATAGAGGCCAGAATAAACAAGAAAGACATTCCTGGCACTAAAATAACAAGTTCTCTGTTCGTTAATCACATCCCCAGGCCCCTCTTATATTTCTTTGGCTTTCCACTTTGAATTTTTATTCTTACAAAAAAAATAAGATTTACTGTTATACAGACTACTGCATTAGTGTAGAAATGGTATAAATAATATCAGCGCACTTGTGAAAGAATATTAGACTCACCAGTTGATGTGTATTGAACGCTTGGCATGATTTGTTTACTTTTGAACTTTGGTAAAAATCGAACATTTCTGCTACTTTGAGCTCAATTTCAAGGTACTTTTCATTACAAAACCAGTCAAAATCATCTCAATTTCTGTAATATGTCTTCCATTCTATAAAATGAGACCAAGAAAACTAGAATGCAACAATAAATACCACATGAAAATACAGTGTAAAGGCGCTGTTTTAACCCTTAAATGGTCCAAACGTATATATATTATTATATACATATTATTCCTCCATGGGGAAGTGGAACAGAATTCTTCCTCCGTAAGCCATGCGTGTTGTAAGAGGCGACTAAAATGCCGGGAGCAAGGGGCTAGTAACCCCTTCTCCTGTATATATTACTAAATTTAAAAAGAGAAACTTTAGTTTTTTCTTTTGGGCCACCCCGCCTCGGTGGGATACGGCTGGTATGTTGAAAGAAGAAGAAGAAAGATACATATTATTTAGTTGTAGCTACAGTTAGAGTAAGAGGTAGATGGGAAAAGAGGAAGGTGGCAACAACAAGTAAGAGGGAGGTGAAAGTGTATAAACTAAGGGAGGAGGAAGTTCGGGTGAGATATAAGAGACTATTGGCAGAAAGGTGGGCTAGTGTAAAGATGAGTAGTGGGGGGGTTGAAGAGGGTTGGAATAGTTTTAAAAATGCAGTATTAGAATGTGGTGCAGAAGTTTGTGGTTATAGGAGGGTGGGGGGAGGAGGAAAGAGGAGTGATTGGTGGAATGAAGAAGTAAAGGGTGTGATAAAAGAGAAAAAGGTAGCTTACGAGAGGTTTTTACAAAGCAGAAGTGTTATAAGAAGAGAGAGTAAAAGAAAGGTGAAGAGAGTGGTGAGAGAGTGCAAAAGGAGAGCAGATGAAAGAGTGGGAGAGGCACTGTCAAGAAATTTTAATGAAAATAAGAAAAAATTTTGGAGTGAGTTAAACAAGTTAAGAAAGCCTAGGGAAAGTATGGATTTGTCAGTTAAAAACAGAGTAGGGGAGTTAGTAGATGAGGAGAGGGAGGTATTAGGTAGATGGCGAGAATATTTTGAGGAACTTTTAAATGTTAAGGAAGAAAGGGAGGCGGTAATTTCATGCACTGGCCAGGGAGGTATACCATCTTTCAGGAGTGAAGAAGAGCAGAATGTAAGTGTGGTGGAGGTACGTGAGGCATTACGTAGAATGAAAGGGGGTAAAGCAGCTGGAACTGATGGGATCATGACAGAAATGTTAAAAGCAGGGGGGATATAGTGTTGGAGTGGTTGGTACTTTTGTTTATAAATGTATGAAAGAGGGGAAGGTACCTAGGGATTGGCAGAGAGCATGTATAGTCCCTTTATATAAAGGGAAAGGGGACAAAAGAGATTGTAAAAATTATAGAGGAATAAGTTTACTGAGTATACCAGGAAAATTATACGGTAGGGTTATAATTGAAAGAATTAGAGGTAAGACAGAATGTAGGATTGCGGATGAGCAGGGAGGCTTCAGAGTGGGTAGGGGATGTGTAGATCAAGTGTTTACATTGAAGCATATATGTGAACAGTATTTAGATAAAGGTAGGGAAGTTTTTATTGCATTTATGGATTTAGAAAAGGCATATGATAGAGTGGATAGAGGAGCAATGTGGCAGATGTTGCAAGTATATGGAATAGGGGTAAGTTACTAAATGCTGTAAAGAGTTTTTATGAGGATAGTGAGGCTCAGGTTAGGGTGTGTAGAAGAGAGGGAGAATATTTCCCGGTAAAAGTAGGTCTTAGACAGGGATGTGTAATGTCACCATGGTTGTTTTAATATATTTATAGAGGGGTTTAAAAAAGTAAAGCTTGGTGTTTGGGGGGGGGGGGTGGGTTAAATTAGGGGGAATCAAATTAAAAGGGGGGGAAATTTGACACAGTTACTTTTTCTGATGATACTGTTCTTAGGGGAATTCTAAAAAAAAATTTTAAAAAGGTTAGTGGATGAGTTTGAAAGTGTGTAAAGGGTAAAAATTGAAAGTGAACATAAAAAGAGAAAGGGTGAGGGTATCAAATGTTTTAGATAAAAAAAAAAATTGGAACAAATTGGGGAGGAGGATTTTAGGAAGAAGTGAATGTTTTCAATATTTGGGGAGTTACGGTGTCGTGGATGGATTTATGAAGGATGAGGTTATCATAGAATTGATGGGGGAAAAAAGGCAGTGGTGCGTTGAGGGTATATGTGGATTCAAAAAACTTATCTTTGGGGGCAAAAAAGGGGAATGATGAAAGTATAGTAGACCAAATCTTATTGGAGTGAACTTGGGTGGTAAAGCAGCAGCAGGAGAATGGTTGGAGGCAGTGGAAAAGCCCTGTCAAAGGGGAAATGTGTGGTGAAAATTTTATGCAAAAAATTTGGGAGGTGGAAATTAGGGAAGGTGTGGAGTTAATAAAGATTTTCAGAGGGCAGAAGAGGGGGTTTTTTGAGGTGGTTTTGGTCATTTTGGAGAATGGATCGAAGTAGAATGACATGGAAACAATAAAATTATAGGGGAAGGGGAAGGGGGGGTAGGGGTTTGTCCTTTAAAGGGTTGGAAAGAGGGGGGTAAGGGGGTTTTGTGGGCTAGGGGCTTTTTTACTTCCAGCAAGTTTCTAGGAAATTTTAGGAGTGAAGGAGGCAATGAAAATTGGGACCTGACATCTGTTGGGGGTGGAGAGGGGAAATTTAGTGAAGGGATTTAGGGGGGAAAACCCGGTTATTTTCAATAGTCGGACTTTTAGTCCTGGAAAGGGAAGTACAATGCCTGCATTTAAAGGGGGGGTTTGGGTATTTGGAGTTTGGGGGTATGTTGTGTATCTTTTTAACGTATATGCTTCTGAAAAAAGTTGTATTCTGACACCTCTGCAAAACAGTGATAAAGTGTGAGTGTGGGGGAAAGTGTTTAATGAGATTAAAATATTTTTTTTTGGGGGTTTCTTTCTTTTTTGGGCACCCCGCCTCGGTGGGAGATGGCCGACTTGTTGGAAAAAAAAAAAAAAAAAAAAAAAAAAAAAAAAAAAAAGGATTATACGTTTTTTTTAACATCTGAAAGTAGTAAAAAATGTAGACTTTTTTGCTTTTTCTTTTTAAAACGTAAAAAAAAAACTTTTATCTACTTTTTTTTTTTTTATATTTTTAAAATATGTAAAAAAAATAGATTTACTTTTGTAGCACTACGAATTTGAACGTCGATCTGTTTGGACCGTTTAAGGGTTAATCCAAAAACACGGTCAAAGTTTTTTTTTTTTCATTATGCACTGTGTGCTGCAGGATTTTTTTATACTGCGCACACTGACCACATAGACCCATTCTTTCATATGTAGGCCTACCAGCTTTCTCTCACTAGATTTGAGGGCGCTAGAATTTATGCGTACTAGTACGTCAAAAACCCTGGGTCGTAAACCGTACAAGTACTACGTCCGAAACCCCCAAAGGGTTAAGTGGAGACCTGTGATGTGGCACAAGATATTGGCTCTTCATTTGTCATCTCCCCAGTTGAGTAAATTTTGCCATAATCATCACAACAGACAGTTCTGTAAACAATGGACACTGTCCATCTTTTCCAAATCAATTGGCTTCAAATTTGTTCCATATTTCTGAAATCTGCTATATAGAGGCCCATTAAATTGGGGAATTTACTGCAAATGCATTCTTGCATCACTAGTGCAACAATAAAAATTCCTACCTTAGCTTCCAGGAGGTGGGGCCAGGATACAAAGACAGCTTTTCCTAGTAACAGATGAGCCAGGTCTTTGAGGTCAGGCTTATCCTTCGTTTCAGTAATATCAAGGATGAAGTTCTCTCCTCGACTGTTCTGTTGAAACACTTTCACCCCTTCCTTAGCAATGTGAAACTGTTGAGGAAAGAAAAAATTACATAGTTTTTACACTAAATTAAACAAATAAATCTTACTGTACTTTAATTTACTTTTTATTCAATTTGTCAAACACTAAAAAATATAAAATAAAGCTAACAAAATATATTATACAAAAATTTTACTCTGAGTAAATCTTATTATAAAACTGCATTATTTGAAGAAACTTACTGTGTTAGCCCTGACACACTAACTATAAACACAAATGATAAATATCCCAATTTCTGTTGGAAAAGCAAAACAAAATTCATATCAACATGCATATTTACTGTACTGCAGGATACATACTAGATAACACAGCCACCATATTATTACTTGCTCCCTCAATCACTTCACTAATACTAAATAACACAGCCACCATATTATTACTTGCTCCCTCAATCACTTCACTAATACTAAATAACACAGCCACCATATTATTACTTGCTCCCTCAATCACTTCACTAATACTAAATAACACAGCCACCATATTATTACTTGCTCCCTCAATCACTACACTGATAATAGATAACACAGCCACCATATTGTTACTTGCTCCCTCAATCACTTCACTGATACTAGATAACACAGCCAGCATCTTATCTCCTTACTTGCTCCCTCAATCACTTCACTGATACTAGATAACACAGCCAGCATCTTATTTCATTACTTGCTCCCTCAATCACTACACTGATACTAGATAACACAGCCAGCATCTTATTACTTGCTCCCTCAATCACTTCACTGATACTAGATAACACAGCCAGCATTTTATTTCATTACTTGCTCCCTCAATCACTACACTGATACTAGATAACACAGCCAGCATCTTATTACTTGCTCCCTCAATCACTTCACTGATACTAGATAACACAGCCAGCATCTTATCTCATTACTTGCTCCCTCAATCACTACACTGATAACACTTCACTGATACTAGATAACACAGCCAGCATCTTATTACTTGCTCCCTCAATCACTTCACTAATACTAGATAACACAGCCAGCATCTTATTACTTGCTCCCTCAATCACTTCACTAATACTAGATAACACAGCCAGCATCTTATTACTTGCTCCCTCAATCACTTCACTAATACTAGATAACACAGCCAGCATCTTATTACTTGCTCCCTCAATCACTTCACTAATACTAGATAACACAGCCAGCATCTTATTACTTGCTCCCTCAATCACTTCACTAATACTTGATAACACAGCCAGCATCTTATTACTTGCTCCCTCAATCACTTCACTAATACTAGATAAAACAGCCAGCATCTTATTACTTGCTCCCTCAATCACTTCACTAATACTTGATAACACAGCCAGCATCTTATTACTTGCTCCCTCAATCACTACACTGATACTAGATAACACAGCCAGCATCTTATTACTTGCTCCCTCAATCACTACACTGACACTTGATAACACAGCCAGCATATTATCTCACTACTTGCTCCCTCAATCACTACACTGACACTTGATAACACAGCCACCATATTATCTCACTACTTGCTCCCGCAATCACTACACTAAGTACATACTTCATTTTAGAACTCAGTGTTAATTTCTAACCTTTGCAATATTATATAATATAATATCAGGCTTCCAACAAAATATTTACAGTTTCCTCTTAGGCCTGTAACATTAAAAATAAAATATGTATATAACTCAGAGGTTGAAGAATTCTGAGTCTTGCTTTCCTCAAAGAAAAATGCAGTTATGTATTTTATACTTCTTCTAAGTTTAAATACCCTATACACATTTATCAATGCTTAAAGAAAAATGGCTGTTAAGATATTCCTCACCAATCGACAAGGGCAAACGTCTTACCTATATATTGTTCCCCAGTAGTGCAGGTTTTATAGAACCTCCACATAGCCAGCATTACTTACAACACCATAAAAAAATATAATAACAAGGAAGAACACACAGCATAGGAGTTCAGTGCCAACATTTGCACCATTCCATGCTGGGATGTCATAAACTATATGTGGGGAGGAGTATGTCTAGGAGACTAAATCAACAGTAATGGCGACACATACACGCGTACTCACACAAACACATACTTATATTATTCATATACGTACTAGAGTATATCTCATCACTGTAACGTACCAGCCAGTACTTAAGAGTTGTACAGTTATTAATTGTGCCCTTAGCACTATACAATCATATGTACCAAATAATTGAGATGAATGTATACCAAGTTATACTCCAAGAGAAGTGTACGAGCTTATTTCCTTAATTATACCAAATATATTAACTGTAATTATTACCACACAGACATATGTGTTATTAAAGATCTCAAATTTTATTTGCTCTTTACCACTCTCTCATTTACCCTTACCTCACCTATGGTATTTATGCATGGGGCTCAACCATAGCAAATCACCTTAAACCTTTAATAACCCAACAAAAAGCTGCAGTGCGATTGATTACTAACTCCTGCACTAGACAGCACACTCCACCACTTTTCAAGAGTCTTAACTTGCTTAATATACAAAACATCCACACTTATTTTTGTGTCTACTACATACAAAGAACACTATAATCAAATATAAACCCTCCTTTCCTTGATAACTATAACAGAACACAGCCATAATACAAGGCACAAATCACTCTTCAATATCCCTTGTGTCCATCTCTCCCTATGCAAAAATGCTATGCATGTAAAGGGCCCAAAGATCTGGAATTCACTGCCAGACCACAATAAAGGGCCCCTTCTACAAATCAATTTAAGGCTCTACTTAGAAATTACCTCATCACCCAAAATTAACCAGACAAACACTTTACATAATAACTGCCAGTTATTCAAGTTACTCAAAAAAACTTTTAAATAATTTAAGACTGCTCAACTATTTGATAATTTACTTTAAACTTAAAATTGTTTCAAATTTCATTATTGTATATTGCTGATGATTGCTCAACCATTTACTCATTACTTCAAACTTATAAATGTTTGAATCTCATTGCTTTAAAATGTACTAAATTGTAATACTACTTCATATTGTAAATAGTTTTAACTTTTTAAATTGTAATATTGTACTTTTTGTAAACCATATCAAAACTAATTATTCTATACTGAAATGCTCTGGTAGACTTATTAAAGCCATATAGCATGACCTAATAGAATACTCAATTCTTTTGTACTCATTGTAACTCATCTAATGACCATATGAACTGTTATTGCCTTATTAATCTTAAGTTAATTTCAAGTTTGCCTGAAATGCACTGCATACAAAGGGACTTTTGTCATGTACACCCAACTATATTTCTTTGTACAACCACGTATCATGTCAAAATAAAAATTATTATTCTTTCTTTCTTTCAACACACTGGCAGTATCCCACCGAGGCGGGGTGGCCCAAAAGGAAAAACGAAAGTTTCTCCTTTTTTTTTTTTTTTTTTTTTTTTTTTTTCAACAAGTCGGCCGTCTCCCACCGAGGCAGGGTGACCCAAAAAAAAGAAAGAAAATCCCCAAAAAGAAAATACTTTCATCATCATTCAACACTTTCACCACACTCGCACATTATCACTGTTTTTGCAGAGGTGCTCAGAATACAACAGTCTAGAAGCATACACAATAAAGATCACAACATATTCCCCCAAACTGCAATATCCCAAACCCCTCCTTTAAAGTGCAGGATTGTACTTCCATTTCCAGGACTCAAGTCCGACTATATGAAATAACCGGTTTCCCTGAATCCCTTCACTAAATATTACCCTGCTCACACTCCAACAGATCGTCAGGTCCCAAATACATTCGTCTCCCTTCACTCTATCTAACACGCTCACGCACGCTTGCTGGAAGTCCAAGCCCCTTACCCACAAAACCTCCTTTACCCCCTCTCTCCAACCCTTTCGAGGACGACCCCTACCCCTCCTTCCTTCCCCTATAGATTTATATGCTTTCCATGTCATTCTACTTTGATCCATTCTCTCTAAATGACCAAACCACCTCAACAACCCCTCTTCTGCCCTCTGACTAATACTTTTATTAACTCCACACCTTCTCCTAATTTCCACACTCCGAATATTCTGCATAATATTTACACCACACATTGCCCTTAAACAGGACATCTCCACTGCCTCCAACCGTCTCCTCGCTGCTGCATTTACCACCCAAGCTTCACACCCATATAAGAGTGTTGGTACTACTATACTTTCATACATTCCCTTCTTTGCCTCCATAGATAACGTTTTTTGACTCCACATATACCTCAACGCACCACTCACCTTTTTTCCCTCATCAATTCTATGATTAACCTCATCCTTCAAAAAACCCATCCGCCGACACGTCAACTCCCAAGTATCTGAAAACATTCACTTCTTCCATTTCTCCTCTCCCCAATTTGATATCCAATTTTTCTTTATCTAAATCATTTGACACCCTCATCACCTTACTCTTTCTATGTTCACTTTCAACTTTCTACCTTTACACACATTCCCAAACTCATCCACTAACCTTTGCAATTTTTCTTTAGAATCTCCCATAAGCACAGTATCATCAGCAAAAGTAACTGTGTCAATTCCCATTTGAATTTGATTCCCCATAATTTAATCCCACCCCTCTCCCAAACACCCTAGCATTTAAATTCCTTAACAACCCATCTATAAATATATTAAACAACCATGGTGACATTACACATCCCTGTCTAAGACCTACTTTTACCGGGAAGTAGTCTCCCTCTCTTCTACACACCCTAACCTGAGCCTCACTATCCTCATAAAAAACTCTTTACAGCATTTAAAAAACTTACCACCTATTCCATATACTTGCAACATCTGCCACATTGCTCCTCTATCCACTCTATCATATGCCTTTTCTAAATCCATAAATGCAATAAAAACTTCCCTATCTTTATCTAATACTGTTCACATATATGCTTCAATGTAAACACCTGATCTACACATCCCTACCCACTCTAAAACCTCCTTGCTCATCCGCAATCCTACATTCTGTCTTACCTCTAATTCTTTCAATTATAACCCTACCGTACACTTTTCCTGGTATACTCAGAAAGCTTATTCCTCTATAATTTTTACAGCTCTCTTTGTCCCTTTCCCTTTATAAAAAGGGATTATACATGCTCTCTGCCAATCCCTAGGTACCTTCCCCTCTTTCATACATTTATAAACAAAAGTACCAACCACTCCAACACTATATCCCCCCCTGCTTTTAACATTTCTGTCATGATCCATCAGTTCCAGCTGCTTTACCCCCTTTCATTTTACGTAATGCCTCACGTACCTCCCCCACTTACATTCTGCTCTTCTTCACTCCTAAAAGATGGTATACCTCCCTGACCAGTGCATGAAATTACTGCCTCTGTTTCTTCCTTAACATTTAAAAGTTCCTCAAAATATTCTCGCCATCTACCCAATACCTCCATCTCCCCATCTACTAACTCCCCTACTCTGTTTTTAAACTGACAAATCCCTATTTTCCCTAGGCTTTCTTAACTTGTTTAACTCACTCCAAAATTTTTCTTATTTTCATTAAAATTTCTTGACAGTGCCTCTCCCACTCTATCATCTGCTCTCCTTTTGCACTCTCTCACCACTCTCTTTACCTTTCTTTACTCTCCATATACTCTGCCCCTTCTTATAACACTTCTGCTTTGTAAAAACCTCTCATAAGCTACCTTTTTCTCTTTTATCACACCCTTTACTTCATCATTCCACCAATCACTCCTCTTTCCTCCTCCCCCCACCCTCCTATAACCACAAACTTCTGCCCCACATTCTAATACTGCATTTTTAAAACTATTCCAACCCTCTTCAACCCCCCCACTACTCATCTTTGCACTAGCCCACCTTTCTGCCAATAGTCGCTTATATCTCACCCGAACTTCCTCCTCCCTTAGTTTATACACTTTCACCTCCCTCTTACTTGTTGTTGCCACCTTCCTCTTTTCCCATCTACCTCTTACTCTAACTGTAGCTACAACTAAATAATGATCCGATATATCAGTTGCCCCTCTATAAACATGTACATCCTGGAGCCTACCCATCAACCTTTTATCCACCAATACATAATCTAATAAACTACTTTCATTACGTGCTACATCATACCTTGTATATTTTATTTATCCTCTTTTTCATAAAATATGTATTACTTATTACCAAATTTCTTTCTACACATAGCTCAATTAAAGGCTCCCCATTTACATTTACCCCTGGCACCCCAAATTTACCTACTACTCCTTCCATAACATTTTTACCCACTTTAGCATTGAAATCCCCAACCACCATTACTCTCACACTTGATTCAAAACTCCCCACGCATTCACTCAACATTTCCCAAAATCTCTCTCTCTCCTCTACACTTCTCTCTTCTCCAGGTGCATACACGCTTATTATAACCCACTTTTCACATCCAATCTTTATTTTACTCCACATAATCCTTGAATTAATACATTTATAGTCTCTCTTTTCCCGCCATAGCTTATCCTTCAACATTATTGCTACTCCTTCTTTAGCTCTAACTCTATTTGAAACCCCTGACTAATCCCATTTATTCCTCTCCACTGAAACTCTCCCACCCCCTTCAGCTTTGTTTCACTTAAAGCCAGGACATCCAGCTTCTTCTCATTCATAACATCCACAATCATCTCTTTCTTATCATCTGCACAACATCCACGCACATTCAGACTTCCCACTTTGACAATTTTCTTCTTCTTATTCTTTTTAGTAATCTTTACAGGAAAAGGGGTTACTAGCCCATTGTTCCCGGCATTTTAGTTGACTTTTACAACACGCATGGCTTACGGAGGAAAGATTCTTATTCCACTTCCCCATGGATATAAAAGGAAAATTAATAAGACCAAGAACTATTAAGATAAAATCAAAGAAAACTCAGATCAGTGTGTATAAATAAATGTGTACATGTATGTGTAGTGTGACCTAAGTGTAAGTAGAAGTAGCAAGACATGCCTGTAATCTTGCATATTTATGAGACAGACAAAAGACATCAGCAATCCTACCATCATGTAAAACAATCACAGGGTTCGTTTTACACTCACTTGGCAGGACGGTAGTACCTCCCTGGGTGGTTGCTGTCTACCAACCTACTATTTAGTAATATTTAGTAATATATACAGGAGAAGAGGTTACTAGCCCCTTGCTCCCGGCATAAAAATTGTCATTATTTTTTTTTTTTTTCAACAAGTCGGCTGTCTCCCACCGAGGCAGGGTGACCCAAAAAATAAAGAAAATCCCCAAAAAGAAAATGCTTTCATCATCATTCAACACTTTCACCACACTCACACATTATCGCTGTTTTTGCAGAGGTGCTCAGAATACAACAGTTTAGAAGCATATACAGTGGACCCCCGCATAACGATTACCTCCGGATGTGACCAATTATGTAAGTGTATTTATGTAAGTGCGTTTGTACGTGTATGTTTGGGGGTCTGAAATGGACTAATCTACTTCACAATATTTCTTATGGGAACAAATTCGGTCGGTACTGGCACCTGAGCATACTTCTGGAGTGAAAAAATATCGTTAACCGGGGGTCCACTGTACGTATAATGATACACAACATATCCCTCCAAACTGCCAATTATTATTATTATTATTATTATTATTATTATTATTATTATTAAATTCATCCAGTTGCAGTCCCTAAATGCTATTGAAATGTCTCTTAATTTTAAAGGATAACTAGACTAGAATATTCTGACAAACTGTTACAAAACCAGAAACAGGCTAGATGCTAGAGGGGGATCAATAAGCTGACCTTCTAGTAGTATCTAGAGATATCTATACTGTATGGATGTCACATTTTGTAACATTATAAACACATCAGCCATTTCCCACCAAGGCAGGGTGACCCACAAAAGAAGAAATACTTTCATTACTATTCACTTCATCATTATCTTACCAGAGGAATGCCTACACTACAGTTAAAAACTGCAACATATCAACACCCCTCCTTCAGAATGCAGGCACTGTACTACCCATCTCCAGGACTCAAGTCTGGCTAACCAGTTTCCTTGAATGCCTTCACAAATGTTACTTTGCTCAAACAGCACATCACCATAAAAACCATTCGTCTCCACTCATTCCTATTTAACATGCTCATGCATGCTTGCTCCTAGGTAGTAGGTTGGTAGACAGCAACCACCCAGGGAGGGAGTGTAAAATGTAAGCCTGTAATTGTTTTACAGAATGGTAGGATTGCTGGTGTCCTTTTTTCTGTCTCATAAACATGAAAGATTTCAGGTACGTCTTGCTTCTTCTACTTACACTTAGATCACACTACACATACATGTACAAACATATATATACAGATCTATCTGGGTTTTCTTCTATTTTCTTTCTAGTTCTTGTTTATTTCCTCTTACCTCCATGGGGAAGTGGAACAGAATTCTTCCTCCATAAGCCATGCGTGTTGTAAGAGGCGAACTAAAATGCCGGGAGCAAGGGGCTAATAACCTCTTCTCCTGTATATATTACTAAATGTAAAAGGAGAAACTTTCGTTTTTCCTTTTGGGCCACCCCGCCTAGGTGGGATACGGCCGGTTTGTTGAAAGAAGAAAGAATGCATGCTTGCTGGAAGTTAAAGCCCCTCACACAGAAAACCTCCTTTACACCATCCCTCCACCCTTTCCTAGGATGACCCCTACTCCATCTTCCTTCCACTACAGATTTATATGCCCTCCAAGTCATTCTATTTTGTTCCATCCTCTCTAAATGTCTGAACGCCAGCAAAGGCTCCAAGCCAAAATACATGGTTAACCTACAGGTGGACAAGAAATACTGTATATTTTTTGTGTACACCAGAAATCTATAAGAATTACCTTATGATCAATATGGCGTAATGAAGGAAAACCAGCAAAATAAACATTTTGTTTGACCCCTTTACACAAGCCTTTGTATATCTTTTCTGGCAACAGTTCCCATTCTTCTCGCCGCACCAAGCTTACAGAAGCATGGTTGATCCCAACAGGTGGAAAATACTTTGGACTCTGAAAATATAGAAATTTGATTAATAGTAAAGAGCTAAATCATGACACTATTTGTCTTGATAACATTTTAAACCATAGACATTCAGTAGTATTGCATACCAATTTAGATCTGTAAAGATAAATCATATTTCTTTCCTAATATATATCCCTTGTTTTTTTTTTCAACAAGTCGGCCGTCTCCCACCAAGGCAGGGTGACCAGAAAGAAAGAAAATCCCAAAAAATAAAATATTTTCATCATCATTCAATGCTTTCACCTCACTCATACATAATCACTGTTTTTGCAGAGGCAGCAGATACAACAGTTTAGAAGGATATATAAAGATATATAACATATCCCTCCAAACTGCCAATACTGTATCACAAACCACTCCTTTAACCCTTTGAGGGTCGACAGGCCCTCTCCGAGACTCGTTCTCAGGGTCAGCCAAATTTAAAAAAAAAAAAAAAAATTTCTTATGAAAAGATAGAGAATCTTTTCCCGATCATAATGACACCAAAAATACGAAATTTGATGGAAAACTTACGGAATTATGCTCTCGCGAAGTTAGCGTCTCGGCGATGTTTACGGATCGGCGATTTTGCCCACTTTGAGCCCCATTTTTGGCCAGTTCCACTGTACTAGTCGACAAAAAACATGAATATTTCGCTAGAATTCCATTTTTTCTATTGAATGAGTGCAAAAAACCACCCATTTACCAATTTCAACTATCCAGTACAGTGGTCAGAATTTAGCAATTTTGCCAATTTCACACAAATTTCAAAAGATGCCAATTTCTGAATAGGGTCCAGAACAAATAATACATTCCTGGCACTAAAATGACATTTCCTCTGTTCATTAGTCACGTCTCAAGGCTCCTCTTACATTCTTTTGCTTTCCACTTTGAATTTTTATTCTCACAAAAAATAGAAGATTTACTGTTATGCAGACTACTGCATTAGTGTAGAAAATGGTATGAATCATATTGGCGCACTTGCAAAGGAATATAAGACTCACCATTTGACATGTATTGGACGCTTGGCATGATTTGTTTACTTTTGAACTTTGGTAAAAATCGAACATTTCTGCTACTTTGAGCTCAATTTCAAGGTACTTTTCATTGTAAAACCAGTCAAAATCATCTCAATTTCTATGATATGCCTTCCATTCTATAAAATGAGACCAAGAAAACTAGAATACAACAATAAATACCATACAAAAATACAGTGCAAAGTCGCTGTTTTATTCCAAAAAAACGGTCAAAGTTTTTTTTTCTCATTATGCACTGTGTGCTGCAGGATTTTTTTTATACTGTGCACATAGACCCATTCTTTCATATGGAGGCCTACCAGCTTTCTCCCACTAGATTTGAGGGCACTAGAATTTAGGCGTACTAGTACGTCAAAAACCCTTGGTCGTAAGCCGTACTAGTACGTCTGAAACCCTCAAGGGTTAAAGTGCAAGCATTGTACTTTCCATTTCCAGTACTCAAGTCCGGCTATATAAAAATATACCTTATATTCTCCCAAATTATCAGGGCTGTAGCGGTAGATAAACATTGGACCATGAGTATTACGAGACCTCTCTTCAGTTGTAAGATGTTCATTACACGGCTTCATGGCTTCCAAAAGCCTTTTTTCATCAATGAAAGGTATAAGTACAACAGCTTCCCAATCCTGATAGAGAAAAAAATAAGCACAAACATTAAAAAAAAAAAATCATAAAAATATATAGAATATATAAATTATTGAACATTTAAGTTGATTTACTTCATACATCTCAATGTATCATACTGTGAAGTACACAGCATAAATTTTATTAAAGAGAAAAAACACAGCTAACACAAACCTGTTGTTTTCCATTTAAATCTGTTTTAAAAGAAACTGGGTAAAATTCCTTGAGTGGTGAGTCTTCATTCGTCATGAGTCCCTGATATGCATGGGACAAAAGCTTTCTGCTTAAGGGTGGCAAAACAGCCAGCAGTTGTTCATAGGGCAAAAATGGTTTGCCCATCTCAAATTTCATCTCCATGTCTGCAAAGTCTTTGATATCTGAGATATATGGAGAATAATGGTAAGGATAAAACCATGACCATGAGCAAATGCCATTATAGTAGTAGTTTAAGATCCACTGTATACCTCTCACATAACTTGTAGCTTGTTCGTGCAATACATCCGAATTGACGCACCTGAAATGCATCTTGGACATGTAATAGGCCCTTTTATGTTGGCGAAACTCTGTATTAAATATAGCATCTTCACTGTCACTTTCTAAGTCTTCATCATCATCAAACATTGGGTCTGGCTCATAACCTAGCTTCTCATAAGTTTTACATAGTGTTTCTTCTTCATCAAGACCTTCAAGAGCACCAAAAGCTCCTTCATCTTCATCTTCAAAGTTGAATGCTTCCAGTTCTTTATTTCCCTTACCTTTATTAACTTTGAAAGCATTTCCATCTTTCAAACTTTTGTTGTGAAAGTACTTTAAATCTGCATTATGTTCATGAAACTGTTCAACATCAAACTCTGAAAGTTTTGCCATAAATTTTTCAAACCTACCAAGATGTAATTTGCCTCCATCATTTAAGTAACCATCCAAGGTAGGCAAAACATCTTTGTATGTCCTGTAGAGAATGGGCAATCCTTCTCTGTTTATATGAAGGTGTGGAAGATGAGGAATGAAGTCATTGCCAACAAGAAACCCCATTAATACCCAATCATCAATTATATTTTCCAAGTTATAACCAAATGATAAAGCATTATGTAACTCAAAGAACTCGTAATTGATGTATTCCCGCATTAGACTTAGATGAAGTAAATGAAATGTAGTTTCTTCAGCAGTGGGTGTACGACGGTTGCCATCTTTCTTGCCACCAAAGCGAACCTGAAATAGTATATTGCAGGTAACAGTTAAACCACATTAAAGAACCCAAAATGTAATGCATTTTTTAAATGAAAAATTGTTAAGAAACTATAAAACAAAAATTAATTAATCGTTTAGAACATGATGCATTTTATTAAAAGACTACTTAAACACTACAAATAAAAAATGGATTAATAGTCCAGAACAAAATAACTGTTTTATTAGATAATGTCATCTGAACTGTGATATCAGAACACTTCTGGCAAGACAGTGACTGAATGTGATGGTGAAAATGTTCCCTCCTTTTTGGGTCATGGGTATGTAAATGAAAGCAATTAAATGCAAACACAGGAAAAAGCAAGGTAATGAGTAAAAAAAATCTATGCAAAGAAAGACTGGATATCAAACTGAAGGAAGCATGTACCAAAGTATAAATGGTACCAACACTTATATTGGTGTGAAGCATGGGCTTTAAATGTTGCAGCAGAGAGGAGACTTGGGTGGGGGGGGTCAATGGAGAGGTTGTGTCTGATGGCAATGTGTGGTGTGACTAATATGTAGAAAATTCCGAACTTGGAGATTAGGTGAGCAGTTGCCAAAGGTATAATTCAAAGGGAGAAGGGTTATTAACATGATTTGGACACTCAGAGAGGATGGAGCAAAATAGGATAACCAGGAGGGTCCATAAACCTGGGTGGACGTAAGGAGGGGTAGGGATCAGCCCAGTAATGTTTGGAGGGAGAGGTAGGGGTCATCTCAGGAAAGGTTGGAGGGAGGAGGTAAAATTTTTTATTGCTAGGGGGCTTGAATTTCCAAAAGGCTTGCATTAGCATATTAGATAATCATGGAGATAAGTGTTTTTAATGACTTGGGTGCTCTTGGTATGTAAGCAAAGTATCATTTACGAAGGGATTCAGGGAATCTGGTTAGCTGGGCTTGAATCCAGGAGGTGGGAAATACAGTGCCTGCACTCTGAAGGAAGAGTTAGGATGTTGCAGCACATTTCTGAAAAGACAAGTAATTGAATGAATGGTGAATGCATTTCTTCTCTTTTGGGAGGGTCAACCTACCTCAGTGGAAGATAGTTAATTTTTATTTTATCACACTGGCCGATTCCCACCAAGGCAGGGTGGCCCGTAAAAGAAAAACTTTCACCATCATTCACTCCATCACTGTCTTGCCAGAAGGGTGCTTTACACTACAGTTTTTAAACTGCAACATTAACACCCCTCCTTCAGAGTGCAGGCACCGTACTTCCCATCTCCAGGACTCAAGCCCGGCCTGCCGGTTTCCCTGAACCCCTTCATAAATGTTACTTTGCTCACACTCCAACAGCACGTCAAGTATTAAAAACCATTCGTCTCCATTCACTCCTATCAAACACGCTCACGCACGCCTGCTGGAAGTCCAAGCCCCTCGCACACAAAACCTCCTTTACCCCCTCCCTCCAACCTTTCCTAGGCCGACCCCTACCCCGCCTTCCTTCCACTACAGACTGATACACTCTTGAAGTCATTCTGTCTCACTTCATTCTCTCTACATGTCCGAACCGCCTCAACAACCCTTCCTCAGCCCTCTGGACAACAGTTTTGGTAATCCCGCACCTCCTCCTAACTTCCAAACTACGAATTCTCTGCATTATATTCACACCACACATTGCCCTCAGACATGACATCTCCACTGCCTCCAGCCTTTCCTCGCTGCAACATTCATCACCCATGCTTCACACCCATATAAGAGCGTTGGTAAAACTATACTCTCATACATTCCCCTCTTTGCCTCCAAGGACAAAGTTCTTTGTCTCCACAGACTCCTAAGTGCACCACTCACCCTTTTCCCCTCATCAATTCTATGATTCACCTCATCTTTCATAGACCCATCCGCTGACACATCCACTCCCAAATATCTGAATACATTCACCTCCTCTATACTCTCTCCCTCCAATCTGATATCCAGTCTTTCATCACCTAATCCTTTTGTTATCCTCATAACCTTACTCTTTCCTGTATTCACTTTTAATTTTCTTCTTTTGCACACCCTACCAAATTCATCCACCAATCTCTGCAACTTCTCTTCAGAATCTCCCAAGATCACAGTGTCATCAGCAAAGAGCAACTGTGACAACTCCCACTTTATGTGTGATTCTTTATCTTTTAACTCCACGCCTCTTGTCAGGTTATTGTACATAAACAGAATAGGGAGATGGTGGTGGTTGTGGGGGTAGCAGAGGAGGCAGCAATATTAGCAAAGAAAGGTTTGTTTAAGTACTTCCATTAATACCACAAGGAGACTACATCTTCCCAGAGTAATAATTACCATAATACCTCCGAATGTATGCTTCAAACCTGAAGAGTTTTGTTGAGGTAATAACCAAAGGAAAATAAATAAAGGCAGATTCATAACTGATCCTTGCAAAGGAAATCTTAAAGTAAATGCTTACCTCTTCTCTGAGCAGTGAGAAGTGTGGCTCATGTGAAGTTAGTCCCAGCATTATGAGGTCAGCATCAAGGCCATAGAGACAGTGACGAGTGTTGGGATTGTATTCTGGCTGACTTTTAGTATATCTGATGAATTCCATTATCTTGTGTTCCCCCTCGCCTGGTGTCTTAAGGTAGAATAAATAATACTGATCATTCAAAATACATTTCATGATGGAACATATTTGATTTTGCTAAACTATATTAAAAGTCCTATCAACCATGTAAACCTTATCAAACCACAATGCTACAGTGTTAGGTAAATGTGTTATGTTATAAACATTCACCAATATGCAATCATAAATTACAAAATTTAAAAAGAAAAATCTATAGTAGGTTGGTAGACAGCAACTGTCTAGAGAGGTGCTACCGTATTGCCAAGTGAGTGTAAAACGAAAGCCTGTAATTGTTTTACGTGATGGTAGAATTGCTGGTGTCCTTTTTTTTCTGTCTCATAAACATGCAAGATTTCAGGTACATCTTGCTACTTCTACTTACACTTACGTCACACTACACAGACATGTACAAGCATATATATACATACCCCTCTGGGTTTTCTTCTATTTTCTTTCTAGTTCTTGTTCTTGTTTATTTCCTCTTATCTCCATGGGGAAGTGGAACAGAATTTTTCCTCCATAAGCCATGTGTGTAGTAAGAGGCAACTAAAATGCTGGGAGCAAGGAGCTAGTAACCCCTTTTCCTGTATACATATATTACTAAATTTAAAAGGAGAAACTTTTGTTTTTTCTTTTGAGCCACCCCACCTCAGTGGGATACGGCTGGTACGTTGAAGAAAGAAATTATTATTATTATTATTATAATCAAAAAGAAGCGCTAAGCCACAAGGACTATACAGCGCTGCAGGGCAGGAAGGAAGCGAGGGCATCAGGTGGCAAAAGGGAGATGGATGAGTAATAGGTTACGGATAACAGCGGGGCAGTGGATGGTGAAAGGGTAAAGGGCAGCAAGAGACTGAACTAGAAAGGGCTGAGGGAAGTGCGAAAAGTATCATCAGAGTTTGTGGAGTAAATCAGTCGTTGTCAAGAAGTCAATGAGAGAGTCAGGATTAAAGGAGGGTCCATCAGCAAGAAGGGAAGGTAAAGAGAGAGTAGTAGAACGAAGACGACGTTGGAGGTAAATTCTGCGTGCTCGTTGATAGAGAGGGCAGTCTAACAGAATGTGGCTAATCGATGCTGGAACTTGACACTGCTCACAGAGAGGAACAGGGTGCCTCTCCATGAGATACCCATGAGTAAGATGAGTGTGGCCAGTGCGAAGGCGGGAGAGAGTGGTCTCCCAACCTCGGCACTGATGACAAGAAGACGGCCAGTAACCTATGCTCGGTTTAATAGAATGAAGTTTGTTACCGAGCAGAGTTGACCAACGTTGTTGCCAACGGGTGCGAAGGTGGGTAGCTATGAAGAAAGAAAGAAGAAGAAAAAGAAAACCTTTCCGTTTTCTGTTTAGGTTACCCTGCCTTGGTGGGATACAGCTGGCTCACTGAAAAAGAAAAAATGACTACCTCACCTTCACTACCGTACACTCCCAATAAACCACAATGGAGGTTTTTTCAGTAAACTGGAGCAAAGTATAAAGTGGAAACAGAGCAAAACCTTTCATAAAAAATATCAACTAACAATGTACGGTACATAACTGTGCTCTAGAAAAACATCTGAATTATAAAAATACACTGAGCCCTGGTTTACATAACTTGAATGAAGGGTGTTTCAAATCTAATGTTCTACATCAAAAGAATTAGAATTACTCTTCCCTTACTTAGATCAAACCTGATTACCTTCCCCCCTCCCTACATTCTCCTATTCCCCAATTACTGTAGGGATTTTATGGATTCAGCATTTCCACATAACTTTAACCCTTTGACTGTCGAAGGGCCCAATCCTGAAGTTGCTCCTGGTGTCGCAAAATATTCGAAAAAAAAAAAAATTATTTTTTCTTATGAAATGATAGAGAATCTTTTCCGGATTGTAAAGACACCAAAAAAACGAAATTTGATGGAAAACTGACGGAATTACGCTCTCGCGAAGTTAGCGACTTCGGCGATATTTAAAAATCGGCAATTTCGCCCACTTTGAGCCCTATTTTCGGCTAATTCCGTTATTCCAGTCAACCAAACTCATAACTATTTCTTCAGAACTCTATTTTTTCTATCGATTGAGCACAAGAAACTGCCCATTTACAGATTTCAACTACCCAATAACATGGTCAGAAATTTGCAATTTGGCCAATTTCACGAAAATTAAAAATACCACAATTTCAAAATAAGGTCCAGAATGAACAATGCAGACATTCCTGGCTCTAAATAAGATTTTCTTTGTTCATCAGTCATGTCTCCAGGTCCCTGTGATATTACTCTTGCTTTTTATTTGAAATTTTATTCAAACAAAAAAATAGAAGATTTACTGTTATGCAGACTACTGCAATACTGTAATAATTGTAAAATTACATCAACCCATTCATGACTGCGTATTAGAATGGCTATTTGGACATTTATTGGACAATGACATCATTTGTTTACTTTTGAACATCGGCAAAATAAAAACATTTCCTGTACTTTGTGCTCCATTTCCAGGTTCTTTTTATAGTAAAATTAATCAAAATCACCTCCATTTCTATAATATAGTTTCCATTCTATCAAATGAGACCATGAAAACGAGAATACAACCACAAATACTATACGAAAATAGACCACAAAGTCGGCATTTTAATTAAAAAAAAACGGTCGGAGTTTTTTTTTTCTCATTATGCACTGCGTGCTCCAGGATTTTTTTTATGTGGTGCACACTGACCACACAGACCCATTCTCTCACATGTGGGCCTACTAGCTTTCTCCTGCCTGATTTGAAGCCGCTAGAATTTATGAGTATATATACGTCAAACACGGTACCTCACAAACGTATATATACGGCCGCGACAGTCAAAGGGTTAATAATAATTTGGTATTCACCTGATGCCCTGAGTAGATGACTTTGCAGTTTTGCCATAATCTATCCTGTGATATCTTGCTGGTAACAAAATATTGTAGTTGCGCATCCAACCGTGCCATAAATTCTGTGCCTGGGGTGATACAATTAGAGTCAAAACGCTCTTCTGTCGGAAGCACCTCTCCACGTTCTTTCGCTTTTCTTTCCGATTCTACTGCTTCATTGGCAGAGCGGAACCTGATGGAGGAAGTGAAATACATTAACAAGAGCCAGATGTAAATGTAGGGGAGGTGCTTGAGGCACTGGGAAGAATGAAAGGGAGTAAAGCAGCTGGAATTGATGGGATCATGACAGAAATGTTAAAAGCAGGTGAGGATATAGTTTTGGAGTGACTGGCAATTTTCTTACATAAATGTATGAAAGAAGGGAAGGTACCGATGGACTGGCAGTGTGTATAATTCCTTTATATAAAGTAAAGGGAGACAAGTGTGTAAAAATTATAGGGAAATAAGCCTACTGAATATAACATGTAAAGTGTTTGGCAAGGTTACTATGGAAAGGATAAGGGGTAAGACAGAGAGCAGGATTGCAGATGAACAAGGAGGCTTTAGAATGGGTAGGGGATGTGTTGTTCAAGTGTTTTCACTGAAGCATACAAGTGAACTTCAAAATAAGGATGTCTATTTTTTCAATGTTTTAAATAGTAGTAGATTGTTATACAGTACGTACATCATAATGTAACATTGTTCCATTGTAATACAAATTTCATCATTTTAAATAGTACTAAATTGTAATACATCATATTGTAAATTGTTTTAAATAGTTATATTGTAATACAGTGGACCCTCGACCAACGATATTAATCCGTTCCTGAGAGCTCATCGTTAATCGAAATTAACGTTAGTTGAGTTAATTTTCCCCATAAGAAATAATGGAAATCAAATTAATCCATGCAAGACACCCAAAAGTATTGAAAAAAAAAAATTTACCACATGAAATATTAATTTTAATACACACAAACTGAAGAAGACATGTACAATTACATGACACTTACCTTTATTGAAGATCTGGTGATGATTGATGGGATGGGAGGAGGGGAGACTGTGGATGGTGTTAGTGTTTAGAAGGGGAATCCCCTTCCATTAGGACTTGAGGTGTCAAGTCCTTTTCCGGGGTTACTTCCCTTCTTCTTTTAATGCCACTAGGACCAGCTTGAGTCACTGGACCTCTGTCGCACAACATATCTGTCCATAGAGTCCTGTACCTCCCGTTCCTTTATGACATTCCTAAAGTGTTTCACAACATTGTCAGTGTCACAATTAAACACTTGTTCAGGTTTCAATTCTTCACTGTCTATGTACTCCTTGAATTCCTGTACATATTTTTCAGCTGCTTTTTGGTCCAAACTGGCAGCCTCACCATGCCTTATCACACTATGTATGCCACTACGATTCTTAAATCTCTCAAACCAACCTTTGCTGACCTTAAATTCACTCACATCACCACTAGTTGCAGGCATTTTTCTAATTAAATCCTCATGCAACTTCCTAGCCTTTTCACGTATGATCGCTTGGGAGATGCTATCTCCTGCTATCTGTTTTTCGTTTATCCACACCAATAACAGTCTCTCAACATCTTCTATCACTTGCGATCTCAGTTTCGAAAACATAGTTGCACCTTCGGCAAGAACAGCTTCCTTGATTGCCGTTTTCTTGGCCACAATAGTAGCGATGGTTGACTGGGGTTTTGTGTACAACCTGACCAGCTCGGAGACACACTCCACTTTCATACTTAGCAATGATCTCTTTCTTCATATCCATAGTAATTCTCACCCTTTTTGCTGTAAGGTTGGCACTAGAAGCTTTCTTGGGGCCCATGGTGACTTATTTTGCAAGAAGCCCCTATCACAAGCTTTTACCATCCTATGGAGAGGGAGCATGGACACGGGGGTCGTCCCACAGTTACTAAAAACAACAGACATAGCCCCACTCCACAAAGGGGGCAGTAAAGCAACAGCAAAGAACTACAGACCGATAGCACTAACATCCCATATCATAAAAATCTTTGAAAGGGTCCTAAGAAGCAAGATCACCACCCATCTAGAAACCCATCAATTACACAACCCAGGGCAACATGGGTTTAGAACAGGTCGCTCCTGTCTGTCTCAACTATCGGGTCACTACGACAAGGTCCTAGATGCACTAGAAGACAAAAAGAATGCAGATGTAATATATGCAGACTTTGCAAAAGCCTTCGACAAGTGTGACCATGGCGTAATAGCACACAAAATGCAATCTAAAGGAATAACAGGAAAAGTTGGTCGATGGATCTATAATTTCCTCACTAACAGAACACAGAGAGTAGTAGTCAACAGAGTAAAGTCCGAGGCAGCTACGGTGAAAAGCTCTGTTCCACAAGGCACAGTACTCGCTCCCATCTTGTTCCTCATCCTCATATCTGACATAGACAAGGATGTCAGCCACAGCACCGTGTCCTCCTTTGCAGATGACACCCGAATCTGCATGACAGTGTCTTCCATTGCAGACACTGCAAGGCTCCAGGCAGACATCAACCAAATCTTTCAGTGGGCTGCAGAAAACAATATGAAGTTCAACGATGAGAAATTTCAATTACACAGATATGGTAAACACGAGGAAATTAAATCTTCATCAAAGTACAAAACAAATTCTGGCCACAAAATAGAGCGAAACACCAACGTCAAAGACCTGGGAGTGATCATGTCGGAGGATCTCACCTTCAAGGACCATAACATTGTATCAATCGCATCTGCTAGAAAAATGACAGGATGGATAATGAGAACCTTCAAAACTAGGGATGCCAAGCCCATGATGACACTCTTCAGGTCACTTGTTCTATCTAGGCTGGAATATTGCTGCACACTAACAGCACCTTTCAAGGCAGGTGAAATTGCTGACCTAGAAAATGTACAGAGAACCTTCACAGCGCACATAACGGAGATAAAACACCTCAATTACTGGAAGTGCTTGAGGTTCCTGAACCTGTATTCCCTGGAATGCAGGCGGGAGAGATACATGATTATATACACCTGGAAAATCCTAGAGGGACTAGTACCAAACTTGCACACGAAAATCACTCACTACGAAAGCAAAAGACTTGGCAGACGATGCAACATCCCCCCAATGAAAAGTAGGGGTGTCACTAGCACGTTAAGAGACCATACAATAAGTGTCAGGGGCCCGAGACTGTTTAACTGCCTCCCAGCATACATAAGGGGGATTACCAACAAACCCCTGGCAGTCTTCAAGTTGGCACTGGACAAGCACCTAAAGTCGGTACCTGACCAGCCGGGCTGTGGCTCGTACGTTGGTTTGCGTGCAGCCAGCAGTAACAGCCTGGTTGATCAGGCTCTGATCCGCCAGGAGGCCTGGTCACAGACCGGGCCGCAGGGGTGTTGACCCCCGGAACTCACCAGGTAAACTAAAAACGACGTGATAATATGAAATGTTCCGATTGTATGTTTGGATGGGACCGCGGTGGCTGGCTGGCTTGTAAACACTGGCCACAAGTGGATGCGTCTCAGAAGGAACGAATCGTGTTGGTCGATTTTTTAGCGCTAGTTGACGCAAAATTTTTGCGTTAAAATGTATCGCTAGTCAGATTTAACTTTAGACGATGCCATCGTTGGTCAAGGGCCCACTGTATTGTAATCTTTATTAACTTAATCTTTGAAGTAGGCACAATGGATTCCACAACTGGCATAGGCTTCTCAGTGTTAGCCCCAAACCCTTCAAAATCTTTCTTAATTTCCATACTAATTCTCACTCTTTTTACCACAGGGTTGGCACTAGAAGCTTTCTTGGGGCCCATGGTAATTTATTCTGCAGTTACAAGCACAAAAAACACTGGGATACGGTGAAATGTACTGAATGTATATGTGGATGTGACTGCACTGGCTGGCTTGTAAACACTGGCACCCACGGGGCAGCTGAGGCCACACGTGGGACACGTCCCGGACAAATCACGTTGGGTGAGTTTTTTATTCAAATTCAATTCAAAGTTTATTCTCTATAAGGATTACAATGCTGAGTTTACAGTTATTGTGTGGTTTACATGTAGTAAAATAATAATTACAGAGTGTACCACTAGAACACCTAGCATGGCTAGGCATTTCGGGCAGACTTAGATTAAATCTTAAGTTTAAAATATTACAAAATTATGAGGCAAGTTGGTATTATGGCTAAGTGACTCAATACTAGTTTGTGAGTTTAGCAATGTGAATGCTTTTGTTTTGGCACTATACATAGTTTCAGTATTGGAGTATCACAGGCCAACTTATGACTAGTTTAGATTCATTATTTTGAGATTGAGATTGATATTTCTGTTTATAGTCAAATTGGTGAGTGAGTGTAAGTGTGAACCACCAGGTGGTATTCGTATAATTAGTTGACAGGGTGTATCAGGGAGATAAGATGTTTTCTGATGGTAGTTTTGAAGGTGATGAATGTGTCTGCAGTTTTAGAATTTTCAGGTAGGGTGTTCCAGATTTTAGGGCCTTTGACATACATTGAATTTTTGTAAAGGTTTAGTCGGACACAGGGAATATCATAGAGATGTTTGTGTCTGGTGTTGTGCCTGTGGGTTCTGTCACAACTATCAAGAAAGCATTTTAGGTCAAGGTTAATATTGGAATTTAAGGTCCTGTAGATGTAGATTGCACAGTAGTAAGTGTGGATGTACTGAACAGGGAGTAAGTTTAGATCTATGAAGAGTGGGGGGGTGTGTTGCCAGGGATGGGATTTAGTGATTATTCTTACTGCGGCTTTTTGTTGGGTTATTATTGGCTTTAGGTGTGTTGCTGCAATTGAACCCCAAGCACAGAGAGCATAGGTGAGGTATGGATATGTAAGTGAATGGTATAGTGTGAGAAGGGCAGTTTGCGGCACGTAGTATCGTATCTTGGAGAGGATCCCAACCGTTTTGGATACTTTTTGGTTATGTGTTGGATATGGGTGCTGAAGTTCAGGTTGTTGTCGAGGTATAGGCCTAGGAATTTGCCCTCATTATGCCTGGCAATTAGAGTGTTGTCGATCTTAATGTTAACTTGCCCATCTCCTGCTCTGCTACCCAACATAATGTAGTAGGTTTTGTCAGAGTTAAGTGTAAGTTTATTGGCTGTCATTCAAGTCGATATTTTGATCAGCTCCTCATTAACAATGGTGTTGAGGGTGGCAAGATTAGGGTGAGAGATGACATAA